AATCTTTAGGAAAGCAATTATACTTGACCTATACTTAAGAAGTTTCTAGGCTAAAAACTGATAAGCAATCCCCTTAAGTCCAAAATACCATTTCTCCCTTTAATTTTAACTGGTTTTTTCTTTCTTAGGTTGGGCAAAAGGTAGTTAGCCTCTGCATTGGTGGCAGATTCCCAACCAATGTGGGACTCCATGATGAAAAGGTTACAAGAGTGATGAGATGGTTTTCCTTATCCTTTCAGGAAACATATTTCTGACCAGTTGTCACCAGCCAGAAGCATCCTTGTTTACCACAGAATGCTGTGTAAACATCTTTTTCCATGTATTCTCTGATAAGTAATAGGTTGAGAAGCACTGGTTTAGGGAACCATGATTTATGGAAAATGGCATCTTTTAAACACTGAGGTCACACATGGCCCAATCGAAGAATCACATTACGAGAAAACCTACAGGAATGAAGACCATCTGAGGGAAGCAACATATTTGCATATTTCTGAGTAAGCAAAGCCAAATTCCAGTAAATGAACCTTAGTTTCACTTAACAGAAAGTTTCTCTAGGTTTTAGAGTCAATGCTTTGAAGTTGCTTAAAAAAACAAAAACCAAAAAAGCTTGTGTTTTCTAAAGACACTCAGAAACAAGGAAAGTCTAAGTCTATTAAACTACCACACTACAGGTATTTATTCCATTTATTTGTCTGCTGAAATACAATTTTCCCCTTTGTCCAATGATGAGAAAGAACAAAGTAGAATTAAAACCAACCACACCGAAAACAACAAAAATCTGTACAAAATTCCATCTTGCCTTATTATAGATATCAATGATAGCTATCTTGCTTCTTTAAAATTTAATGAGTATAAAATTATGAATTTTAAAAATGTAAATATAAAATTATGAATTATACGTTATTTTATTTTTTAAACTTTATTGGGGAACTGTGTTTTTTCCAGGATCCGTCAGCCCCAAGTCAAGTAATTGTTTTCAGTCTAGTTGTGGAGGGCGCAGCTCACTGGCCCATGTGGGAATCGAATCAGCAACCTTGGTGTTAAGAGCCTGTGCTCTAAACACCTGAGCTAACCAGCTGCCCCAATATGTTTTTATTTTAACCAAACCATAAAATTTGCAACTAATTTGGATGATGTAAAATTTGAGCTCTTATTTCCCCAAGACCAGGCTTTGGGAAGTCAAGAGGAAAAATAATTTGGAGAAAACACTGATTAAAATAAGCAAATAAATTATTGTACACCTTTGCTCACAAAAACTAGGAGACCAACTGACATAAAAAACTACACCTTGGAATGTTATACAGTCATGAGATGCTGGCCTTGGTCCCTGATGACCACAGAACCAGGATATCAGCCCTGGATCGCACACCTGTGGACCTCTGTCTCATAGACACCACTGTTATTTGCGCTCTGTTAATGCAAACTTAATCCTGATATACCGTAGGTTACCTTCCCGAGTCATTACTGTCCTGAGGGTAGACAGTACCATCATCCTTGTTTTTACAGTTGAAGAAACAAAGTATCAGGGAGGCAAGTAATCAGCTTTGGAAAGAGCAGAGTCATTGCAACAACAAGATTGGAAAGAGATTGGGGCTAAATTATACAGGATCCCAAATGTCCTCTGAGCAGTGGTGGGATATAATCAATGTTCAAGAAAGGTTTTCCTCATAGTTCTACAAGGAATGGCGTAAGTTGTGATCAATTAAGAAATGACTATGATGGACTGGCCGAGTGGCTCAGTTGGTTAAGAGCACGCTCAAGAGTGTGAGCTCTGAGCAACAGTGGTTCAATTCCTGGCCTGAGCTGTGCTGCTGCTGAGCTGCCAACAGGTGGCAGGAAGGCTCAGAAAAAAAAAAATTATTATGTTAGTCTAAGGACAAGAGTCCAAATAGAAAGGGGAATAGATGAGAACCTGGTCAAGTAAAAGTGAAAGACTTTGCAATCTACTGAATATGATGTGTGAGTCAAGATATAATGATTTTAAGAAAAGATGTTTAGCACTTAGTTGTGCACTTTCAAAATATATCAATTTCAATAAATATACTAAGGTCAAACATTTATATAATTAAATGCCGTATTTGTTAGTAAGCTTTTATAGATAATAACTTGCTCCTTTGGTATTCTGCATGCTTGGGAATGAACCTTGACTTCTGGGCCAAAATTCTCATGTACCAACTTTGACAGTCATTGGTCAAAGTATGCTCCTTATTGTCTCTGACTTTTCTGTGTCTTACCTTGATAAGACACTTACATTTGCAAATTTACCCACGTTGTGTAACCTAACCCAAGCTTGGCTCTTTGAATCTGAATGTTTAGCCAGCAATACATCGGTTGTCTTATTAGGGCAGGTGGCTGCAGATACAGCATTTTGACCAGGTGATAATGAGTATGTCTAGACCCAAGCACAACAGGATCTGTAATCAGATGGGCAACAGATAATAGCCACAGGTCGACCTATGGATGGATGGTGGCAAGAGGCACGGCGGCAAGCACAGACGGCTGCAACCTGGAGCATCTCCGACAGAGGATTTGTGGTCAGGAGATCATGAGTGGACTCTTGGTCAGGAATGTGTCAGTTCTGTGGTTTAGGGAAAGATACCTTAGCAATGTTCTCATTTATAAAATGGGCATAATACTTCCAATATAATATTGTCTGTTACATGGTAGGGGCTCATAGATGTTTGTTCCATCTAAATATTTTATTCTAATTGGCTATTACGTTAAACCAAAATAGATCACATATATACCGTGTTTCCCCCAAAATAAGACCTAGCCAGAGAAGAAGCCCTAGCATGATTCCTCCAGGATCTGGAGGGCACACATCCCTCACATGAGGGTTTGATGACCTGTTTCAGGGAGAAGGGTGCCTTTTCCACAAACTCCTTCAGCTTAAAATATTCAGTATGCCAAGGTGCCATATTTTGGCACCTAAAATCATGCTACGGCTTATTTTCCGGCTGGGTCTTATTTTGGGGGAAATGCGGTAATAGCAATCTAAACCGTAAAAATTAGGAAGAATTCCAGCAAGATAAACATTTTTTGAATGCAGATAAGCTATATTCTGATAAGATTAAATACTGTAAATGCTAGTTCTTATCAAACTAACTTAGTGTATGTTTAGTAACAATGGTAAGAGAATACTTTTTGGATATGTAAAATTACTTAAGAATAAATAGGTGGATATATAAAACAAGATTCTAAAAAAGAAGAGGAAAAAATTGGTGAGAGGTGGTGAGAAAAAGCCTAATATTAAAACAAAAACTTATAATAAATGAGTAAGGGCCGGCCAAGTGGCACAATGGTTAAGAACTCGCTTGGGACGCCAGAGGGCCCCGGTTCAGATCCCACATATGAGGCCAGTGACACTGCCCTCCACAGCTAAGATGCTGAACAACAGCTCAACCTGGAGCTGGGCTGCTGTGAGTCGCCGGCGACAGTGTAGGCTGCAGCCCCTGTGGCAGTGGGTTGCCATGGACTACAGTGTGTAGCCAGCAGCCAGCGTGAGCGGCCAAGCAGCCGCCATGAGCGGCCATCCAGAAGCCAGCGACTGATCTGCCTCGCCCGGGAAGAGCACAATGATGGTGCCAACTTGGGCCAGTGAAGCAACGTCCTCCACAACTAGACTGAAGAACAAAAGGACAGCAACTTCTCTGTTCCCCTTCCCCCAATTCCCCAGCACTGTTTCCATCCCCCAAGTTCCCCAATAAAAATCTTTAAAAAAAAATAAATAAATGAGTAAACAGGCACAGATAACTTCAATAGTATATCCCAAAAGTACACTTCATTGTCAAATAAAAATTCAATTATTAAAAAAGGAATCACTATATATCATATTCAGTTCATGAGTTTGGAGTATAACAATTTGGAAAATACCTAAGTAATATGTCACCTCCTACTGGATGCTGCTATAAAACATAAAACCAGAAGAACACAGTAACAAAAGTTCATTAAGTTACTGAATGAGATTAAATTTTGAAGAGATAGAAGAAGAGTTCACAAAGATAAATACTAAAATATTTTATTAAAGAAAAATTCAAAGCTGTTGTAAGTTAAACAAAATAACCTCTAACCAAAATAACAAGGCCAATATATTAGGGGGGAAAACTGTAGCCAAAATGACAAATATCAGTATTACTCAATAAATTTGAGGCTCCTACAAATGAAAAAAAAAATACAGCCAGCCGAGCGGCTCAGTTGGTTAAGAGCTTGCTCAAGAGTGCGAGCTCTGAGCAACAGCGGTTCGATTCCCAGCCCGAGCTGAGCTTCCACAGGTGGCAGGATGGCTCAGCTAAAAAAAAAAAAATTAAGCGCCTTACTTGAATTTATTATTTTGGCGCATTGAGGATTTATATAACTAAGTTTGGTAAGTTTGACAAATTCATTAATGAAAACTTTAATATTAGAGGTTTGGATTTGTAGATTAATACTTTTTATCTGAAGATAAAGATATTGGGTTGTCGGAAAAGTCATGACGCATTTTTGCAATGAAAAACGCGTCATGACTTTTCCAACAACCCGATATATATCTGCAGTAAAAATGAATCAACAGTAATTAAGGTAAAGACCAAATGGATCAACTTTGGTCATTAGATGTCATTCTCTATATATGTATATATTATTCAGTAGTATAACTCAAATTCTTTTGGACACTTCAGGAGGCACCCATCTACATTATGTCTATTTTGGCCTGTAGTACTTGCCTTTAGTAAGCTGATGAAAGGTAACTAAAAAGTTCACAGTAGTGTGAAAGGGTTTAAGAAATACCAGGGGAGTGTAGAATTGCTAACATCTATTTATACATCAGAAATTTATTTTGCTCTTAATTTCATCATGGCTAATTAGATAAATTACCAAACAGTCTATAATTCTTCCTTCTCTCTCTGTCCCCACAATCCTGCAAAAAAGATAAGCACCCCAAATAAGCAAGCTTTAAATAAATGGTAGTAGTCAGCATCAACAAATTAGTTCAATGGTTAATAATGGAATGAAAGCAAAATACAGACTTTTAGAAAATATTTTTATTTTCTTGGCACACAGACGTAAAAATGACATTTGCCAACTAGATAGAGCAGTTGAAGACATCAGAAATGAGTTAAAATTCACATAGGTTATAAGGTCCATAGATATGACAGGTCTCATGTTTCCTCAATTATCTTTAAAACTTAATAAATTATCATAGCATACTGGTTTAACTGACAAACTTACTTCTCATGTTAAAGAGTAAAATTGATTTTGATTAGTGAAGAACCAAGGCACAGAGCCATTTCTAAAATGTAAGACAGTGGTACCTCATCCAACATCACTCAGGAGTGAAGCATTCTACTTACATGTTTTTTACTCAAATGACATTTATCTCTCTAAAGTCTAAAACTGTTACTTTAATTACTTTGATGAAATAACGTACCTTCTTAAACTTTAAAATACATCATGCAGATTATAACAATGTTCTTTCATTAATATTCCGTATTAGGGATATGGCCCATTTAATTTTCTAATTCAATACAACGTCCTAAAAATTTAGCAAAGTGGGTATTTGCCCAAAATGGCTGTTTTTAAATTGTCAACTCATTTTTTATTTATTAATTAATGTATTTATCATATTTAATTGTCAGGCATTACTTCTTGCTTTCGTTAAATATGTTGGTTCTCAGTTACTTTTCTTACCACCTTTAATATAGAAATTAAAGTTGAGCAACAGAACTACATAAACCCTTGATGACTAATGTTTTTCTCTTGCAAGAAAGGTCTTTTACTGCACAGGTTAGGAAATATTATACACTTAGCAATGAAGAGGAAGGGAAACGTGGAAAATACATTTATAGACAGCAGTCAGATTATTGTCACAACTGTCCTTAAATTTGTAGAGCTTAATCTACTTTAGGTTGGAAAACCAGAAAGTTAAGTTAGTTAAAACTATTTCTAAAGTAGGGTCAGCTTTGAAAAAGGGTGTGCAGGTAATCTTATGGTAAACTGCATGAGCTTTTGAGCATGGGTATTTGACATCTAAAGCATTTATATATTTTTACTACTCCGAAGTTTTAGTTTACTTGTTTTTCTTCTTTATTTTTACTTCTTAGTCACAGTTAAGGTGGTTGGGTATGTGATCTCTAACTGAGAAAAGTGTTACTGTACCACTATTTTAATTATGAATATACCATTGAATATTATATAGTAATAAAAGGATTTTAGCAACTGTTTTCTTTAAACTGAAAGTGTAACAATCTATTTTAAGTATTTTTGAGACAAAAACAGTAAAAAAAAGTTCCACCTAGAAAACAAGTACTATTCAAAATGTCAAATCATATAAATGTTAAAAAACTTTTTCCTTTTATGACTTTTTCAGATTTAAGGTATTTAAAAATAACATGAAAAGCTTTTCAGATGATTTTATGGAATTCAAGATAGCTACTGAATCTCTATTTTTATGACACTAAGGTTATTCTTAATGCTAAATGAATCAATGGCAGGTTTTGGTTAACAGGAAATTAGTATCTACTATGATCTCCCAATACACTTTTTACACACAAACTAAAAATAGTTAAGTTTTAGAAAATTAATATAGCATTGTTTTCTTTAAAGTTCTCATAAATATGCCCAACAATTTGCATTTTGAAAAAGTAAACCACCTTGTAGTAGGAAACTGAAACTGAAGACGGATTTTATAAAACTGTTTTTAGGAAGTCAATTACTAATGCTTTATTTTATATAGAGAGAGCCTATGTATCATTAGCAAAGTAAATTATGTTAAATATACTGTTGGCATTCATTACATTAAAACAAATATTAATGTATCAGTGAAAAAAATAAAAGCACATATGAACATCTGTGCTCCACTTATGAACACTTCCATAATTTAACATTCATTTAATAGTTATTGAATGCAATGTGGGAGGTGCTAGAAATACTGTAGTAGAAGGTGAGACCATTAACTAACCATGGCCTATTTGGTATATATTGTTACTGAAGAAAATGTATACCACAATTTAAAGATCCTTTTCCATTTCTTTCATGATTACATTCTCGTATTTCATTTTCACTTATGTACAAAATGAAGATGACATGATTTTTCTTTTTCAAACTCTGGATTTCAAACTCTTTATTTCTAGGCATTTGAAGAATACTTACTGAATTTGAAAGAAAAACATTCCATTGGCAATGATAATTTTCTCTCTGACTTAAATGAAAAGCTACCCCTGTACATTAAAAAAAAAAAGAAAATCAATGCTTTTACAGTCTTACCTAATTGGGCATGTATTATATGAATGAGATTTTTAAAATGACTCGAGCCTGTGCATATAAAGCATTTACATTATATTATGTCCTTGCATTCCATAACACAGTGATTGCATACTTAATAAATATCTATGAATCAACTATAAGTCATAGAGTGTTTCAAGAATAGTGGCAATTGACCAAGCTTGTGTTTCACAGCTGAAAGGACAGTATTGGCCATTCTCGTTGGTCAGTTCTGGAAGTCCTTTCCAAGGGGATCTTAAAAAAAGAAAAGCCATTTAATGAGATACGATCTAATACATATCTTGTTGGATTAACAAAAAAGGCAGGAAATCTGGTGATTTTGCCTTTTTATATAAAAAACAACCATACACAGTCATTTGCTAAAAAACAAAACAGTAGATCCTATGTATTAAGAATTTAGATTGAAATGATTATTTGATAATTCAATCTTTGAGATTTAAAACTTTAAAATAGAAGGAATCCCTTTATGTATTAAACACAGAAGAAACTACCATTCCAAGCAATATGTAAATATAGAGACAACTATCCTTTCTCATCTAATTTTATTCCTTTTAGAGTGTGTTTATGAGACTCAAATTGTAGTTATGTAGATGTATTAAGTTTGATCTTGACAAAACTGTGAAACTAATACAAAACAATGAAAAAACACAACTATGATTAGGAAAAAGATACCACTTAAAAACAATCTGAATTTCTATACTAATTTCCCATTCTACTGAATAATATAGTTACTATTCACGGTGTATTTATTATGTTCTAAAAATAAGTGCTTTATATACATTATCTCATTTAATGCTCAGAGTAACCCTATAAGATAGGTACCATAATCATTCCTACAGAAGTTAATAACTTGTTCCAGATCTCACTATCAGAACACAGCATTATTAGCATATCAAATTTATTCTTAATTTCAATGTAATCCCTTAAATATACAACAAATTAAAAAAAAACACATAATTCTATAATGTTTCATTTTTTAAGTTGGGTTGTGGGAACATATTTGTCTCATCATTATACTTTGTAACTCATGGCTATGTTACATATAATTTTCTGTAGATCTCAAGTATTTCATAATAAAAATAAAAAAATAATTCCATTAGACAAATATGGAGATATTTTGAATAATACTTAATAATAACATCATCTAGTACCGTATTTTAAAAAGTTGTCATGGAAAACATAGAAAACTTATTTGTTTGCAAGTGTTCAAGCTACTTCAGAGTAAAATGCCAGACTACTGAATTTGGGTACCTGGGTATCTGTAATGGGTTGAACTGTGTCTCCCTCAAAATTCATAAGTTGAAATTCTAACCCTCAGTAATTCAGAATATGAACTTCTTTGGATATAGGGCTATTGCAGATGTAATTAGTTAAGGTGAATCAGGGTAGGGCCCTAATCCAATATAACTGGTGTCCTTATTAAATGGGGAAATTTGGACACAGGGGAATGCCATGTGAAGACTAGAGTTATGCTGCCACAAGCCACGAACTAGCAGATGTGAGGAGACAGGGCTTTACAAGGAGCATGACCCTGCCGACACCTTGATTTCATATTTCTAACCTCAAAATTATGAGACAATAAATTTCTGTTGTTTAAGCCACTCAATTTGTGGTGCTTCGTTACAGTAGCCCTAGCAAACTAATATAGCACTGAAATTAAGAAACAAAACAACCTTACAGAACCACAAATATGCTGCTCATAATTAAATATAGACACAATAGATATAGACCACATTACCAGTATGGTTATAAAGTCCTCTTTCCTTTGCTTTCTGAAAAATTCACTTCTCAAGTCATTAGGTGGGACAAAGGTCAGTGACCACTCTGGGAGGGGCGGAGAGAAGGGGAGCAGGAGTAGCACAGAGTGGGATGTGAAAGCCTGAGGGATATGAGAAAGGAGTTCACACCAAGGGTGGGGGGGGGCAACGCCCAAGTGGTGCAAGGAGAGTATCCGTGCATCAGAGGAGCCTAGCATGGGTTGTCTGAAGCAGGCCCAAGTGGGTGAAGAGGGCATCTATATTTCGGGGGCACCCCAGCATGAGGTGTCAGAGCCAGAGTAGAGACTATGAGATGCTGATAGCAGGAAATAGGTTATTCGCTATTGGAAAGGGAATTACAAATATGAAAAGGAAGAAAAGTAGAATTTATTACTGAGTGGAACTGATGTGAAGGCAGGTTATCAGTATCAGCACATAGAGAGAAATACAGAGATGTATGTATATGCCTATCTACATGTGTTGTATGTCTCCCAGCTCTATCATTGGGAGGCACATTAACAATGATGTTATGAAGTAATAGAAGTAATGAATACACCAAGTGCCCAGATATGGACTTCTAAATAACATTCTTCACCAGAAAGAACCAGGGCTCCTTGGAGAATAGCTCAGTTCTAGGGCTGGGACAGGCAAAGTAAAAGATGAGCCTACAACATTTTGTTGGGCCACAAAGCAAGAAAGGACTTCCACTTCTGAAAAACATGGACTATCACGGACAGAATTTCCCTCCTGCCTAAAACAGTCAAAGAAATGGACAAAATAAGAATTGGAAACAATAATTTTCCAGACACTGGACATTAACCAACAAAGAACAGTGACCCTGAGAAATGAGAAAAAAATGAAGTGAGTCCTATGAGTCTGTACCATACTGTCTTGAGAGAGGTTCTAGGATTTGGCACAGGGAAGCGAACCCAGAATCACTGAGTTGAAGAGATGTAACTGAGAGTTCAAGAAGACCAAGGAAGCTAGAATTTTCAGATCAGAGTAGTAGAGAGGAAAGAACTGCACAAAGAGAAAAATCTGGAGTTAGGCAGAGGGTCTCCCACTCACGTATTCACAGCATACCCATCAACCAACACACAAGAGGAAACTAATCAAGGATGGAGAAAGAACCACCCAAAAGGTTTAGGTGAAGTTGTACCCAACATTCATGCAGGGGTCAGTTACACTGTTTACTTCCACCAGCCTGATTTGAAAACTTCATAATTTTCGGAATATGGAACAGAGAATGCAGATGGGTTTTGACTCGTTAGTGTAGACTAGCCCTAGACTAAATACTGTTCTGGGTCAGGCCCAACAAAGCTTAAATCAGGACCTGCAAGGATCAAACTATTTCTAAAATAATTTAACTGCACTCAAAAACAACACTCAAGAATTTTTATGGAAATATAAAAAAAAATCCAACATCCAACAAGGTAAAATGTACATCTGGCATCCAATAAAACAATAGCAGGCAAAGAGCAGGATAATAAGAGAATAATCACAAGTGAAACAAACCAGAAATCAACTAGCAGACAAAAATATTAAAATAGTTACTATAATTGTATTTCATCATATGTTCAAAATATTAAGCAGAGATATGAAGATAAAAAAAGAGCCAAATCAAACTTTAAGAAATAAAAACTATAATGTATGAAATAAAAGAAATAAAACATACACTGAATGGAATTAATGGCATATTAGAAATAAGGATGACAGCACATTTCTTGTCAAAACAATGCAACAAGTTTAAAGTACTAAAAGAAAAAACTTGCCAACCTTGAATCTGTATACAACAAAAATACCTTTCAGAAATGAAGGCAAAATAAAGACTTTTCTGATATACAAGAGCTTAAAGAATTCATCATGAGCAGGCCTGCACTACAAGACATGACGGAGAGTCTTTAGGTAGAAGATGACACCAGATGGAGATAGGGATATTCATAAAGAGATGAAGAGCACTGGAAATGGCAACTACGTGAGTAAAAAAAAAATATGCGATTTTTTTCTGTATTACTTAACTATCTTTAAAAGATAACTGATTGCTTCAACAAAAATAATAAAAATATAGTGGGGATTATAACATATGTAAAAACAAAACAGATGACAAAAATAGCCCAAAAGCCTGGAGGGGAGAAATAGAACTATTCTATTTTAAAGTTTTTATACTATACTTGAAGTGGTATAGTGCTTGAAGGTAAAGTACGATAAATTAAAGATATATATATACTACAAACCTAAGGAATCATTTAAAAACACCAAATGAGAATAGCTAATTAGTTAATAAAGAAGATAAAATGGAATAAAAATATTAAATCTAAAAGAAGCAGAAAGAGGAAAAAGCTACTGGAGAGGATAAACAGAAAACAAATAGATTTATACTTAAACACATAAATAACCACATTAAGTACAAATGGTCTAAACAGCCCAATTAAAAGTCAGAGAGTATCAGGCTGCATAAAAAAGCAAGACCCAATTATACACTGCTATAAGAAACCCATTTTAAAAACAAAGACACAAAAAGGTTAAAAGTAAAAGGATGAAAAAAAATATATACCATAGTAATGAATACTCAAAAGAAATCTGGAGTGCTTCTATTAATACCAAACAAAGTAGATTTTGGAGCAAAGACATATTGCCAGCGACAATGAAAGCCATTCCATAATGATAAAGGGTCAATTCATCAAGAGAACAATCCTAGATATTTATGCATCTACTAGTTAAGATTTCAAAATACACGAAGCAAAAACTTATATGACTGCAAGGAAAAACAGACAAATCCATAATTATAGTAGGAGATATCAATACCCTTCTCTAGGTAATTCATAGAACAAGTAGACAGAAAATGTATAAGTACTTTGTACAATACTATCAACCTACTTGACCTAGTTGACATTTACAGAGGAGCACTCCACCCTTGTGAGGTAAACAAGGGAAACCTAATGCTATGGATAGACTAAAGTTTTTCATGATAAGAGGAAAGCAACAATGTCAAATAACTATATAGCCAGGTCAAAGAGGAGAACTGAAAGGAAATCATGGGATCTGGGATCCAGAAAGGGTCTTGTTGAGTGGCTTCACCAGAGTGGTAAGGGCCAAACAAAAGCCAGAGTGCAAGTGAGGATGACTAAATGGGTGGTCAGAAAGCAAAAAAAAATGAGGAGGTTACTCTTACAGGAAGTGATGATAAGACAAGGCACCAGGTAGGAACAGCATGACTTTAGAGTGATTGACAAGTATCTTTGTAGCTTAAGAAGGAAGGATCAAATGGAACACCAAGAGAGGGTAATTATTAGAGCAAAGTCATAGAACAGGTGGGGGTGGGATGTGACCATAGATAGAAGAATGACTATGCAGTGCAAGATATTCATACTTCTCATGGACAAAAGGGAAGAAAGAGAGAATAAATGCAACTAATGAGAAATACTGTGGAGCAATAAAGGATGGACTACAAGAACGTTGCATCACACAGACTCAAATTCAATCTCTAGATAAGGCAGGAGTGTGGCAGGGATGGGGTTGTCTGTCATATTCAAGCTAATGAAAACACACTGAAGAAAAGAGGAAAAAACTGACACAACATTCATGTGACAGATGGAAGTGTCTTATGCTGCTGTAATAAAGACGGTAACAGTTATGCTGTTTATGCATAATTATTTTGAGCAATAAGATGTACACATATTCAGGTTTAATCTAGAATGTGGGACATTAAGAGCTTTTGACTGAATTTGTATCAGCTTATAACTGACACTATCTGCTAACAGCACAAAAAGTATGACACATGGGTTTGAAATAATAGCCAAAGAACCAACTCTGATATTTTAATTATAATGAAAGCATTTCTGAAAATTATTTATTGATATATCTTTAAATCAGTTAACTCAAAAAACCCAGCCTGAGTACTTTTAGTTTTTGTATTTATTCTGTTAACCATATCCAAAAATATAGCAGCAGCTAAATCTTAAAATCAAACACTTTCACATGTATAAATCATGCAATATCAAGTTTTAGAATGAAAATAAATAACCTAAAAATAATTAAAGGAAGGTAAAAATTACATTATAGAACTTGCTGTGTTAAAGAGTAAAACTTTCAAATTTCATTAGGGTAGCTAGAATATATGTGCACAGAAATGAATTCTAACGAAATGTCATTTACCTAATATCTAACAAACTGACTAAACACCCATTATGGAAATTACATGCCTATGATGACTTACCTCTCAAGATGAACATAATGTCGGGAAAGAACATTTTTAACCAAAAACATAGTCTTTGCATTAGTCTCTGGGCCCATCAATTTGGAAAAATATAATTTTGCACGAAGGAAATACCCAACGGGCCACAGCCACTCCTTAAAAAGAAGATTTAAAAGTAAAAAAAAGAGCTGTGAGTCTCTAAAATTATTGGAAAAATAACTTTAATTGAAAACTCAGAAAAGAAAAATGAAATTCTTACAGGTCCTTGGTGATAGTTGAAACCTTTAGCAAGATTGTAGTTGTCATTGTCTAAGGCATTGTCATAAATTCCACAGTAAACCATATCACTGCAAAATGATTGAAATTTAGATTAGAAAAAGATGAGACATTATATAGGAAGCATTAGAAAAAAAATTTCAATAGCAAATGTAAGAAATATAATCAAATTATTTTGTCTTCCAATCTATAGAATAAGCTCATCATCCATTTAACCCTAAATTAGTACATACTGAGTTCAGAGAACTTTAATGAGTTAGGGAATGACTAACAAACACTTAGTGGTTAATACAAAACAATATAAAATATTCAGGTATCTTGCCTTCAAGGAGTTAGTCTGACACCAAATATTGGTTAAAGTAAATTATTTCACTAGGTCTCTAACATATTTATAACAATTAAAATATACACAGCATAATTTGAATTAGTAACAATTCAAGTTTTTATTATTACATATTGGAAAGGTTTTTTTCTCCATGAAGTTATTTTAAAATTAATTAAAATTAGTACAGTATCAGATTACAAATAGCAATTGAATACACTTAGAGAATTTATATACATTTATAAACTAAACAAAGTATTACTGACTTATTGCAACAGATAATACAAGGCAGTTTAGTTATCTATGTTCAGTTTAAATTACTTTTCTTTCTTTTCTTTTTTTAATAAGTTTATTTTTCAATTACAGTTGACATACAACATTGTATTAGTTTCAGGTGTACAATGCAGTGCTTATACATTTAAATAACTTATGAAGTGATCCCTGATAAATCTAGTACCCATCTGACACCACGCATAGCTACTACGGTATTATTGACTCTACTCCCTACGTTTTACTTTATACCCCCGTGGCTGTTGCATAACAACCAATTTGTACCTCCCAATCCCTTCCCCCTCTTCATCCAGTCTCCCAACTCCCCTTTCATCTGGCAACCATCAGTTCTCTGTTTCTCTGAGTTTGTTTCTGTTTTGTTTGTTCATTTACATTGTTTCTTAGATTCTACATATAAGTGAATCATATGGTATTTGTCTTTCTCTGTCTGACTTACTTCACTCAGCAAAATACCCTGTAGGTCTATCCATGTTGTTGCAGATGGCAAGATTTCATTCTTTTTTATGGCTGAGTAATGTTCTACTGTATATATGTACCACTTTTTTTTTTTTTTTTTTTGGTTCCTAACAGCTTTATTTGCAATAGCCAAAAACCAGAAACCACCAAAATGCCTTGCAATGGGTTAAATGGTTAAACAAACTGTAGTGCATACATATGGAATACTATTCAGCAATAAAAAAGAATAAACTATTTTTTTTCTTTTCTTGATTTTTTAAAAATCTATTACAATTCCCTTGACTCCACTCCACTATACTCCACGTCCCATGACTATATCTATATATGTTCACTATAGTTGACATACAATATTATACAACATCAGCTTCAGGTGTACAGTGCAGTGATCAAGCCTCTACCTCATCTATGGTGCGGTCTCCCTAGCAAGACATGTGACCATCTGACACCCTACAAAATATTTACAACATTATTAATTATATTCCTCGAACTGTCTTTCATATCCCTGTGGCAATATTGTAGTTACCTATTTATGCTGCCTAATCCCTTCCCCTTCTCCTTCATCCCTACCCCCTCCCAACTAGCAGCCATCAGTTGTTCCTCTATATCCCTGAGACCATTTCTGTTTACTTTGCTCGTTCATTCAGTTTTTTAGATTTCATGTACCACTTCTTTATTCATTCATCTATTGATGGACACTTCGGTTGCTTCCACATCTTGGCTATTATAAATAATGCTGCAATTAATATATGGTTGCTTACGTCTTTTCGAATTAGTGTTTTGGGTTTCTTTGGATAAATAAATACTCTGAAGTGGAATTGCTGGGTCCTTTTTTGTCTCTTGTTATAGCTTTTGTTTGTTCTTTTTTTTCTTTTAGTAAGAGAGACAGAACTTGCCCCATGCATAAGCTTTAACTGTGGGTTTTAGTTTTGACAATGGTTCTTAATGCCTCTGAAAATGTGAAGAATACTTCAGAATGCAGAGAAGTACATGGATATAAAATTTTACATCTCAAGACTGAAATGAGCAAACAGTAAGTTAGGGAAAATCTACAAAGTTGAGGGTACTAAAGAAATGGGGCTCTCTCATCAATGATATAGAAAGCAAATTGATGACAGGTATCAAACTTTAAAGGAAAAAAAAGAACAGAATGGTCATTAGAAATTCAAGAAAAAAGCAAAAATTGAAAAAGAAAAGAAATATAAAAATGGTAGATATAATCATAAAATAAAAACAACATTATTTATTGGTTTAAATAAAAATAGTGGTATAATTAGAGACAAGGATAGAAAGGGCTGTTGGTGAGGTGAGGATAGAATTAAATCCTCATCTGTCATCACAAGAAGTAAACAAATAGTCTAATATTTTTTAAAAATCAAGAAATAGAGGGAGCATTTGAGAACTTGCTTCCCAGCATGTCATCAGCTTGACTCAAATAAACTCAAACTCTCATATAAGTTATTTAAAAAAAAAAAAGAACGAAAGAAATAACTGCATACACGTATGTATTAAAAGTATGAAAGGAACAATGAGTAACAACTTAGACAATAAAAATTGTCTCTAAGGAGACAATATGTCCATCCAACATACATAATAATCACTATAATAAGAAAAAACAGGCATTAGAAAATATTCCTGATATTAGTTTTATAAACTTAAAAACTCTTTCATTGATTACTGAATAGACGAGAAGTCAAAGGCATTTTGAACAATGATGGTTAATGAAGACACAGAAGGCATTTAAAAAAACTCAGCTTGAATGTAATTTTAGAGGTTTTATAGACAAGCAAAACAACTGTGGGTGATATAATACAATATCAATAACATTCTTAATACACTCCATCTTACTCTGGATCCAAGTTTTCATGCCAAGATTAAATATAATTAAATATTAAGTATAATATGAATAACATTCTTAGCATTTATATTGTAACTTACTCTGGATCCAAAGTTTTCATGCCAAGGGGACCAAGCAATTTTTTTTCTGCCATCTCCAAAGCTTTCCATGCTTTTTTTGTAGTAAAGAGCTCAGGGGCCTAAGGAATGTCAAAAACAAATATACAAAAATTTTAAGATCATAGAAGAATTAGTTTTCACTCACAGTGGAACATAAATATTCATAAACTTGGAAAAGAAGGAAGACGATTTAAAAATACAGTGTGGGTTGGAATTCGAGTACAGATACCAAATCTCCATGAGGCAGACTAGGAAGCACTGTTCTTGGCCTTCGAAGCCAGGAAAACTGTTAGAGGTGATTGTTTCCTCGTGTAGTTTCAAGAAAGTGTACTGGCTCCAAAAGGAAGTTGCCACAACTAAATGAAGGCAGGACACACCTCAGCCCATCAAATTCATTTTTCAGAAGATTTACAATAGCTTCCTTTAAGTATATCTGGTCACCGTTTTTTGCTTCTAGGGTCATAATAAAAATACAGAAGGACTTGCCCTCCCACAGCGTGAGTATGTGATATGGAGAAGGAGAGAAGCATTAGTGACTATGAATCTCCATTAATTTTAATGATTAAATAAAATCAAATGCACACTGAATTTTAATGATTAAATGAAATCACATGCACAAAGATACCTTTATGTATCTTTGCATTTTTTATTCTACTATAATGAAGAGTACTATGTTCTGTGCTCTTTTTGACAAAGTAGAAACAGCTAGGCAGGCACAGAAGGACCTATACCTTCTCTATTTCACTGCCCTTGTAGTTTATTTTTAGTCTAAGAAGAGACAAAAGCAATGCCACTCTAAAATACCTTGCTAGAAAGAACTTATTACAAAACAAAGAAAAAAGAATGTGAGTTGAATATACTCACATTAGTTCACTGGTCCAGATGTTTCTAATACTGTGCTGAGGCACCGGTGAGGCACCAAGATACAGATATCCTCAGCTTTCAGGGCCCTGGGAGCTAACTGAAGCAGTTGGGTCTGGCACAAGCAACCTAATCCATTTAGTCCAATGTACTGTACAAATGTCATCATTTTCTATGTGTGTTGTGATGTGAAAAACATCACATTACTTTCTATTTTTTGATACTAAATGTGAAAGGTTAAGGGTGGTATGCATGATGCTTTATTAGAAAACACTATGTAAGTCTATCTAGTAAACAATACACTTTTTAGCAATTAAAAGACTATGAAAACAAATGGAAATAAAGAACTAAATAAACCCAATCACAACATTTTTGAAATTTAAAAATATACCCATCACTTACTACAACCATCGCTATGGTAAAGTTAGGCCTGAGCTGGTAGTCACACCAAGGGCTTGAAGCTCCGTAGCTGTCTTTGTATATGCCGCGCTTGTGAACTAGATTAGGGTTCTTTTCATTAAAATCTGAAGGGTCTTCAGACACATAAAATAGCTTTTCAAAGTTGTCTTGTATTTTTCGGTTCCATTCATGATATGAGACTGCCACGACCTTTCCTGAAACATGGAAAGACTTGGCAGTTTTAAGCATTCAAAGAAGTTCATACATTTAGCTACAGACAAGGAGCAATATTTAGGCAATAAATTATCCACTTTTTGAAAGTGTCAGGGTTTTCTGAAGGACACCTGCCTGAAATTAAAAATTATTTTTCATTATATTACCAAAAAAGGATCAGACTCTAGCAAATGAACTCTGATTTGTCTTTGTTTGGATCACTCTTATATGTTTGACAAAGTTACCTTTATTGAGCATTTGAAATGAGGCTAGTCTGAATTGAGGTGTGGCAGAAGTTCACACTATACCCTGGATTTCAAAGGCTTAGCACATCACCAAAATAGGTCATGAATAATCAATCACATACTGATTACATGTTGAAATAATATTTAACATAGATTGAGTTAATAAAATTTATTATCATAATTAATTTAATTTACTTCTTTTTACTTTAAAATAACATTTATTGGGGAATTGGGGAAGGGAATAGTGTTGGGAAATTGGGGAAGGGAACATTGTGTTTTTCCAGGACCCATCTGCTCTATTGAACTGAGCCATCTGGCTGCCCACTGGCAGCTTGCAGCCACTCAGCTCAAGGTGTTATGTTCAATCTTAATTGGCAGGGAGAGGGGGGCGCGCACAGCTGACCATCCCATGCAGGAGTCGAACTGGCAACCTTGTTAGGAGCATGCGCTCTCACCAGCTGAGCCATCCTGCCACCTGTTGGCAGCTCAGCGGCAGCTTAGCTTGGGCTCAGCTCACTAGCCCATGTGGGAATCGAACTGGCAACCTTGTTGCTCAGAGCCTGCGCTCTAACAAACTGGGCCACCTGGCCAGACTTCTTTTTATTGTTTTAATGTGGGTTCTAGAAAATGTTAAATTATGTATGTGGCTTAAATTACATTTCTATTGGACAACACAGTTTTAGAAAAAGAGTTTTAAAGATTTCATAACTGTTCACAAAACACAGTCTTGCTCACAGTCACACTGCGGGAAAAGAAAAGCACAACATAGCAATAACAGTGATGCTTTTCACATCTCAGTTCAAAGTTGGTATAAAAATATGGTTAGTAACCAGGCTTGTTACAATTTTCATACTAGTAAATTAATGGTTTTTCTTTCCTCTTATATTAATCCTCTTAATCTTAAGGGTTTTCTAATATTAGTTCATTAAGTCAAAAGATGATTATGTAGGTTAAGAATATAGACAGTATATTTGGAGTTTCCTTGTAAATAAAATGAACAGTTTACCATGTCTTTTTACTGTGACTTCATGATAAGGGAAAATATTTTTCTGGGATAATTCCAGCAACCAACGAACGGCAGATTTACTCAGGCCCACAATTTCAACAGCAGATCCATCTCTAAAATTAAAAGTAAATTTTACTCTGTGAGTTACAGTCATTTAAGGACTATTTAAAGAGCAATGAATAAACAATTTTGATGAATTATATAACCGATGTATTATAAAAACAACTATTTATAAAAAAACTCCCACTTGATAGGAATGTGTATAAGAAATCTCTCTTTTTACTATTTTGCCATTGTTTACCTTGTTAACGTATTTTTAAAATATTCTATGAAGTAGAATGGGGATTATGGAGTAAAAGGAATGGCAGCTAGAGAAAGGTACGATAAGGAATCAGAGAATATTGAAATAAGCGTCCCATAAAAAAGGCAGCAAACATGGGCTATAGGAAAGAATTCACATCCCTGAAGAGAGCCAGGGTAGGTGAACATAATAATTTGAGCATTCACTTTTAAAGAAAATGAAAGGGAAGTACAACAGGTCATAATGTACCAAAATAAACAGGCTTTTAAAAGAATTTGCAAAGCATGTAATGACAGCTACTATTAAGTAATTTTTTGATAATTCTGACTGAAGATAAAATTTAGAATAAGAAAATAGTTTCTCAGATTTGATACTATTAAGCATTTGAAATCATAAAAAGAAATGATGGGATAAAAGATTTTAAAAATTTAGGGGGAAAAAGATTCAGAAAGTGAAAGGGTGGGATAATTGGTTGTTTTCTATATTTACAAAAGATGGGCATAATAAAATGTTTACAATGAAAGAACTTCAGGTTAAGAAAACTTCTTAAACACTGAGATAATGAATCATAAAACTTTCCTTTGAGGTACTTGTAGAAAATCGACCCATGAGAACTTCCAGAAGAGAACAGATGGCTTTCCTTAATGACTTACTGACAGGATCGTGTACACATGTATACAGGGGGAGAAGTGGAGGTGAACGGAAGAGGAAGTGGGAGAGAGAATGGGGGATTTTTACTGATTAAATAAGACGACTTACTTCATGGTTAATAGATTCACCAAATATCCCAAAGTATGGTTTTAAAAAGGGTAAATTGTCTAAGCACCACAAAATAAACCCTACCTTGGAGTGGCTGGGTTTCCTCTGTTTCTAGCTCTGTCACTTTCTCCCATTTTATCCATCCATGTGCCGCAATTAAAGCGATTTCCTCCATAAACAAATCCTGTTTCTTCATCAACCCCTGCTGTTACATTAAAACCTAAGCAAAATAAAACATTTATAAAATTTAAAAGGAATATAATAAACTAGGACAACTGTTCTGGAGAGCAATTTGGTAATATCTTAAAAGCTGAAGATGTAAATACTCTACCACATGGTAATTTCATTTCATAGATACACACTCTAGAGAAACCCTTACCTACGTATGTGCACAGGAAGACACATACAAAGATATTACTGCAACACTGCTTGTATTAGCAAGAAAGTAAATAACTGCTGAGTAGAGCAATGGATAAACTCTGTGGTTTATTCATACAATGGAAAACTCTTTATACCATTTAAAATTAATGAACTGGATTTACTGAATCAAGATGGATAAATCCCCCAAACAAAATGACTGAGTATATAAATTGCAAAAGGGTGTATATAACTTTTCCGTAAAAGTGTTTGTGTGTATGTAAATGTGTATACATACACACACACACACACACACACACACACACACACACACACACACACCCATGTATGTCTATATGGCTATGTCTTATATGATTTCATAAGACATACAATTTAAAAACATAAAACATTTATAAGTAGTATATTATAATACATAACATAATATACCAAATATATACTATATAATATGTACCATATAATTTACACATGCTCAAACATACATAAGCACATAAAGTACAAAAGCATACATGAAAATAAAAACCCTGATTATAAGATAGTCATTAATTCTGGAGAGGGAGGGAAGAGAAAGAGGTAGAGATGAAGTTTTAGCTATGTTGGTAATGGTTTATTTCTTTTCAAAACAAAAAAGATCTGAAGAAAATACAGTCAAATGTTAATATCTGTCTAATTTCAGTTCTAGTTTCAAGGTATAATTTAGGTTATTTTCTGTACATTCAAACATTTCATAATTAATATTAAAAACTAAAATAATTCAGGGTTATCACAAAAAATGTTTTTAAAATATAAAACCTATTTCTATTTAATTCTCTTAATAAGGATTAAAAAAAGTTAACAGCCAGGGCCAGCTGAGTGGCTCAGTTGGTTAAGAGCTCACTCAAGGTGTGAGCTCTGAGCAACAGCAGTTCGAGTCCCGCCCGAGCTGAGCAGCCGCTGAGCTGCCAACAGGTGGCAGGATGGCTCAGCTAAAAAAAAAAAAAAAAAAAAAAAAAGCTAAGTGATTCTTACTAGCTCAGTTTGGTATAAAATTTGTATGTTAGCACTACAAACAATACATTAACTAAACGAGGTTTAATTATTGTTTAAAATAGAATTTATAAGATACAAGGAGAAATTTAGATTCTTGAGTATACACCGAATTTGCCAATGAGTTAGAGTTATCTGAAATACCTGGAATAGATCACTTAAAAAGCTTATCATTTTATGTTCAAAACAAGTGTTAAAAAAAAAGAACAAAATATAGTTCATAATCCTATTACCCTAACAAAATTATTACACTTCAGTTATTTTATCAATAAAAACGGGGACAACATAACTCATCCCCAATATTCTTGCGAGTGTTAAATGGGCATAACACAGGCAAAGCAGTTAGCACAATGCCCAGCACATAGTAAACACTCAATTATTAGCGATTATTATTATAAGTGCAACCATCAAATTAACCTTTTAAATTGGCTAACCAAAGATATAAAGTTTTATCTTTCCTCTAGAAACTAAAACTAAACTAGTGAGATCAAGAACCGTGATAATCCATTTTTCATAGTTATATTCTGCCATTTTACACACCAATAAAGTATTTGTCAAATAAATGAACAATTACAATGTTTAATTTCACCTCAACAGTAAATCTCGACTATACAACATGATGTACCTTCATCCTTCATGTTTCGATCTATCTGTGGACCAGCATTCCTTTCTCGGAACTGTATACCCTGCATGTGCCTCTGCATAGCTTCCTGTATTACTTCAAACAATGGCTGATCCTGTTTGAGACATAATGGATGTTACTTCTGTTAGAAATCACATTTTTCTTATCTTCCCCCGAATCCCATTACTTAAGTTTTGTGAAAACACATTTTCCTAGGAGGGAGAAATGGGAATCAGGGGTATGTCTGGGGAAAGCAGCCGCTCTTATACACCAAATGATACGGTCGATCTTCGGCATATGAATATTTAAAATATTATAGTTCTGACAACTCATGTCTGTGACATGAAGTAATTTGTAATTTTGCTGATACATAAAAATGAATTGTGTGAGTTTGTATGGTTTCTATTAGAGTGAATTGTTCAGCTAACAAATGAATCTGGCTTATTATACAGAAATCTGAATTTTGTATTGGCATTGCTGTTCTTACTCATCCACATACATAGTAATGGAGATAAACTATATACTAAAGTGGTACTTCCGATAAAACTTTGTTTGACAAGTATTCTTTGACTACTTCATGATATAAATTTTTTTTATTTTATGGAGACATAAACCTGTGCTAGCCCTGGGGTAGTTTAGAAGTTTCCCACGGTCATATACCAAACAAACAATGACAAAGGCAGATCAGAAATGGCGAATGCACAGTATCACTGTACATTACTGACTGGGAAAATATTACTCAAAAATGTGTATTCATTCTGTGGTGTTCATAAGATAAACTCTGAACTTCCTGGATTGGTAGTAAAGGCTCTCCACAACCTGGTTCAGCCTTCCCACAAACTCTTACTACCCTATAGGTAAGGTATTCTACACAAAAAGCCAAACTAGACTGAGCAGTATGTCCTGAACTGTGCTTCAATCCACGCTGAGCTTTACTCTTCAACTCTGATGTCTTCCCACAACTTCCCCTCACCTTTGCTGAAATCCAACTCAGGTTCAGTTTATGTGAAATTTTAGCTACTTGCTAAAGTTCTCCCTAAGACTCACCTACTAGATCAGCTCTCTCCCTCTTATGAGAGACTACATAGCACTTCCCACATACCTTTTTTTGCAATGACCATATTCTGTACACATCTTCTCTTCTACCATGTTGCAAGCTCTTTAAGCAAGGAGCTAGTCTTATCTCTGCAATGTCTCATAGTACCAGCAGATGCTAAGTAAATGGCAATATTTTAACAATTCTTAAAATTCAGATTTTTAACTGCAGGTATTTTTATAGATGCTAAAAGTCATTTTTCAGGAAAAGAAATTATTTTAAGAAATGATTTTTACCATTGTGCCGGCAGGCAAAGGAGCAGCATCATCTGTAGGATACATTCTGGAAACTGGACATTTGAGAATGTCTAGGCCATTTGGAACCACTTTACAGTAATCCTGAATACACTGCAGCCACCACCATACAGCATCCCGGCAGTTGTATCTGGCGTGAGTTCCTTCACCCAGGAGATTAGGAATGAGACCGTGTCTCAGGGTACCAGCAAATGCTAAAATAATATTCCTAAAACAACAGAATTAGGTGGATCACTTGACATGAAAACAATCACTTAACAAATTGAAGACAAAGAAGTCACTTTTGATGACTATTATTTTGGGTGCATTTTCCTCTTCTGCTCTTAGTGCTTTGTATTTTCGGTGGTTGTAACATAGACCAAGCACTGAATCAGAAGTCAGAAACTTTGATCCTAGCCCTGGCCTTTTCTCTAACAATCTGTGTGACTTACTCTCTCTGGGATAGTTTTCTCATCTGTGGAGTTAGGGATGTGACTGGAGATTTTTAAGGTCCTTCACAGCTCTAGATTCTACTTTTGAAATCCTTGGTATTTCAAAATCTAAGTAACTAAGAACATACACTCTATTATTTTAAAAAGCAAATACCAAGAGCAAAGCAAACATGTAGGAAAATAAATGAGTAAAAGCTGACCTTGAAAAACATGATTAATTTTCAAAAACTGGTAAAGGATAGTTTATCTTTTAAAGTGTTAGTCTAGTATCATATACCAAATGACAACTTTGTAAGATGGCATGGCATTCTAAAAAGAGCGTGACATTAAGAAATAAGACTGAGGTTTAAATCCTAGTATTACTATCGGTATGCCTTGGAAAAGTCATTTAAAATGTCTATCTAGGCTTCAGTACTTTTTGGCTACACCATTTATAAATTTAATTAATTCTATGTCTCAGTTTAATGCCCATCTCTTAAATCACAGTGCAACAGGAAACTTTTTATTTTCTGAAGTACAAGTATGGATAGTAACACTTCCAATTAATAACAAGTCAGAGCGCCAGCAATCCTCACTATCCAGAACAATGTCCTGCACTTGAGAGTTGAACACGGACCTCTGTCCATGAATATCTCTGCAGAGGGCGGCAGTAGAGCTATCTGTGGTAGGGACAGCCATGCGTCCACCAAAATGGCTTTCCTACATGTACCAACATACCTTACAGCTGGCTGTGGCTAGATGACTAAATGGAACTGAGGAATGTTAAGTACAAGGAACAGGTGTATTTCCCCAGGTTGTTCTCTTTCCTTTTCTGCCAGCCAACTGGAGAGGACTCAGAGGCCCAGCAAGATGGCAGATCCTCGTGATGAAGGAGCGTGTATGCCTGAATCACTATGTGGAAAGCTGCCTCCTGGACACCCACATTGGACCAGAAGCAAGAAATAAATTTCGTTTGGGAAAAACCATTACAATTAAAGAGTTTATACTTTACAGCAGCTAGCACTAATCTAGCAAATACATTATACTCTGGGAATCATCTAGAGCAGGTGGGCAAACTTTGTAAGGGGCCAAACAGGAAATATTTTAGACTTTGTTGGCCATATGTGGTCTCAGCCACCTATTCTTTTTCTTTTTTAAATGACTTTTTAAAAAGGTAAAAACCATTCTTTGCTCAAAGGTCATACAAAACAGGTGACAGGCCATAGTTTGCTGACTTCTGATCCAGATAGGCATATATAAAATTAAGAAGCAAAAATTTTTGATAGTATATAGAAGTGATAATTGGGAGCCCAGATAAAAATAAAAGTAATAATGAATTAAGAAACTAACATCTACGGAATGCTTCACACATGGCAGACACTGTTTTGGACACTTCAACTGTATTAGCTCATTTAATCCTCACAAAGACCCTGTAAGGTAATTCTATATCCACTCTATAGAGAGCACAAACAGGATAAATAATTTGTCAGGTGGTAGTTTGGAACCAGGATTAGAACTTGGCCCAGTTCTAGTCTGGCCCAGACCCCAGTTCTTAACCACTACCCTCTGCTGAATCCTGGTGTTCCGTTTCCTACTTAGCAACAGTCATTTAGGGGCATTTCGGGAAGAAGCAAACGGCCTCCCAAATTTCTACAGCCCCAGAATAAGTCAGTAAGTAAAGCTCTTATTATATTCGGTTAGCAGGGCAAAATAGAAAACATTTCAGATGCCCACTTAGAAATTTTCAAATTTAAAAGGACCAAGCATAAAACTTTTACTATTTCAAGAGGCAAACTTCAGGTATTTTTCTGATGATATCCAAACAATTTATCCTGTAATATAAATGCTTTTTTTGCTAAGTTTTAACCTGTAGAGCAGTGCAGCAAAATTTAGCCTTCAGCTGTTGACAATCCCCTGGAGCCCTTGCAAAATCAGTTTTCCACCTGCCAACTCCGCCCTCTCCACACCCAGGTTTGGATTCAGGAGGTCCAACATAGGGACCACGAATATGCACTTCTAAAAAGCGCTCAGGTGATGGAGACACTGTTGGTGTAATCACACTTTGAGTGACACTGCTGTGAACCTTTTCTCTTCTACCTGGATAAATTCACTCTTATTATTGTGACACAAGAAAATACCACTTTCTAGAAAACATAAAACTGGAAATTATAAGGCCTGACAACATATAGAAGAAAACCTGATATTATAGCTCTTTCTACAGGACTTAGTCAACCAGTAATGTCTTCATTATAGAAGGACAAAAAATGGTAGACTTTCAAATTCTACCTAAAAGTTCATCTGAGTTCTTATACTTAATTCAGGCATAGAAATTTTACTTTTTTAGTGAGTGATGATAGTAACACGATTACACATTACTTAGTTTTACAGAAATAAATTAGCTAATGCTGAAAATAGCCTGACCTGTAACATGAGGGACTTGAACTTAGTAACTTCAAAGATTTTCACTCTTTTGAAATTCTATGATCCTATTAAATGAACATGTAAAAAGTAAACTAAAATAAAATAAACACCTATGGAAAACATTCCTCCCCAATGTTGAGAATAGATTGATAAGAAGAAAACTTTGAAGAGCATGTGAAAAACATTCAAACATCAACTTGCATTGAACCTTTTAGAGGTCTCCTACCTGGCTTCTAAATAGCGTCCAGTAATCAGGAGCAGGCCTCTAAGTGCAATAAAAGTGTCCCTTCCCCAGCAGCGGAAAATACCAGAAGAAAAATGAGGTAAGCCTAACAAGAAACATAGGAAAGTAATATATTAACCTTAATAATACACACCAGCCTGTGAACTCCATTATTACAGACCAGTCACTCTAAACCTGGAGACCAGAATAAGCTATAGGTAGTCTGCAAACCCTCTAAAATTCTCTGCAAAATCTGTGTCTATATTTATGTCAACTTTTGTGTGATAAGATTCCATATGCTTATCAGATTCTCAAAGGAATCTGTGGACCCAAAAAAGATTCAGAACCAGGGCTAGAGAGGGATTCTTATGTGAATTGATTTGAATGTGTGAGTCCCTATCTATCTATCTATCTATCTATCTATCTATCTATCTATCTATCTATCTATCTATCTATCTATTTAGCTGAGCCATCCTGCCACCTGTTGGCAGCTCAGCAGCAGCTCAGCTAGGGCCAGGAATCGAACCACTGTTGCTCAGAACTCGCACTCTTGAGCGAGCTCTTAATCAACTGAGCCAGTTGGCCGGCCCTGAATATGTGAGTCTTTAAACAAAGAAAAACTTTCTTTTAATAAACTAAAGTCACAGATCAAATAGTTAACACATAAACAAACACTTAATGTAAATTATTGATATATGTGAAAAGATGCTACCTGCAATTTGAAGGCAATGAATTAATTTTAAAATGAAATGATTACTTTAATGATACATATTAAACATGTTTATCATCTATTACTCTGGAGTCAAACTTCATTACTAAATTTTCCATTAATTCAAAACAACTTAAAAAGTGTTATGTTTTGTTAGCCAGAAACAGTTTTTAGCAATGAAAACAAGGATTTCTGTACCAAATAACTTGAACATTCTAGGTAATTGCAGCTTTTATGTATGAGATAAAATAGGGTAGTTAATGGATAAAATCTAAAAGTTTATTTTTCGATTGAGTTTGGTTTCTTATAAAACATGTAAAAATACAACTGTTATCTGTATTTGTACTAAAAACAATAATCAGTAGGAAAGGAAAGCAAAGGATATTAGATTTCACTAAAAAAAAAAGAACTATGCTAAAGCAGAAACATAAATATTTCAGAAAGGAAAAACAGAACATAAAATGCACACAGCATTCATTCATAAGTATCTTCTAAGCAGTTAACACTATCTGACATTATCTTGTTTGTTTTCTGGTTTGTCGAAGGAATGACTCTTTCTCCCCAGTAGAAAATAAGAGCCATAATTACAGAAAGCTCCTCTGCCTTGTTTACCAAAGTATATCTGTCATTGAAAATTATAACTGGTACATTAAATATTATTATAAAAATTTACTGAATGAAATAATAGACTAATTAGAAAAGGTAAATTGAGAGGTGAGAGGTGAAAGATTTGACTAAGATAGAAAATTTTGGCAATTCCTAAGTCTACTTCACAATTTACGTTTTTGCTTATTGGGTCTTCACCCTTTGTGAAGATTAGACATTATTTTCTTCTGTTATGAAAGATCAGAACTAAAGGTAACATTAGACATTTCTTTCTATATTGTCTCCAAAATAATGGTATAAAATTTTCCTAAACACGTTATGTGTTATTTAGACATGGCTGATATATATGGCTTGTCTGTGGTTGCTGATGATAATTTTGATGATGACAACAGCTAACAAATACATCTGTGTCTACATAGCACTCCATGTCTTACAGGCTTTCTGGTACTTTGACTCATTGAACACCTTGTATGAGATGTGAGTATAGATAGATTCAAGGGTGAGTTCGAGTTGGTATGTCCTAAAATACTGGCAGTTTATTTTTACAAAACCTCTAGCACTGATATGTGGAAATGTTTGTATTAACTTTTTGACCTCTAAGAGTCAAATTACAGATCACATACCTTCTGATTTCTACCTTGACAATTATTATAAAAGTTTTTTTTCTGCAGTCACCAAAGGAAGGTATTTCTGGCCTTCGTATTCGTTTTAAAATGAACCCCAAAACCTATCTGTAAATTTTAGTATGGAGTATAAAAAACACTCCCTTGGGTTTCTAGAAGCAAATATTAGAACTTTTATTTATATTCATCACCTAATATTTTTAGTTTCTATTTTTGTTTTATACTATACCTGATATGTAGGTATATCAGGTATCATAACAAATCAGTATGTCATTTATGATATCAGTATATCTATTTTGGGAGTGCTTAACAACAGCAGTGTATATAATTAAAATGTTGAGATTACTATGTTATGTAGTAGGCTTTAAAAACAAATTCTGCATATTAATTTTCTTTTCCACAATGGCCCAGTTCAGTTTTACGAGCATCTGCATGGATTCACAGGGAAAAGATAAGTTCCAGAAGGAGATCAAATAGTTGAGTAAAAATCTAAAACAATTATATAATTAAAACATTCAGAGGGTTCACACGATCATTCTAAATGAAAAGTTAATTTTTTTTAAGTCTTTAGGTCACACTAATTCTTTTTTGTAGGGCTGAACAGATGAAAATTTAAGGGTAAACAGGAAATCACAGACAATACTATTACTTTCATCCTGCAATTTGGTATTTTTCAGTTTAGTTTGGAAAGTTCTAAACTTCGATGGCTTCAAATATTAAGACTTTCTAGAAATAGCTTGAAATACATTAGAAAGAAAACAAAAGCCTGTCCTTTAGCCTATTTCACTTAAATTAATTACTTGGTTCAG